TTCTCTCGTTGCCCTGTGATGACCTCAGAGGCCTGAGGGTCTCATTTGCCTTGAATCTTTACCTCTTCCACCTTCGTCCCTTTTGAATTGTTGAATGCTTTTTTTTGGAACGATCTTGAACAGTTATTGCCTTGGGGATTCTATATGTTGCTTTGCTTATCAAATTTTTCTTGTGTGTTTGAAAGTTGAGACAGGGTAATGGTTGAAAAACTGGTTTTTTGGACAGTAAGTTTTTTGTATATTGGTTTTGGTTGTTAGGCTTGGTGTTGGTTCAGTTTTGGCATTGGTTGATGATATTTGGTTATGACTGATGCTTAGGCTTGTTTGTGTCGCCCAGTGATGTTCTACTGAGGGCTTAGGCTTGACAGGTTATGGTGTTTTTGAAGGTTGAGGCAGGGTATTGGTGCTTGATAGGTTGCAAGTTGTGGTTATGACAGTAGTGGTGTTTTCAAGTTATGTGCTTTTATGAGGTTTGGGGGTCTTTTTCTATTCTCCAACTCTTACCTCTTTGTATTAGCCTCTGTATATTTTATGCAGAGTTGTGTTGGATCCTTCGGTTATCCATTTGCAGGTTCAGTTTTTATGGTCTTAGCAGGTTTTTTGCAAGGTTCAGGTTTGATAAACTTTCTGTTCTCACTTTTGCTTCTTACCTCTTTCTATTCTGAATTGCTATTCTGCTGCTGAACTGCTATTGAACTATATCTAAATCCCTGCTGCTGAACTGAACTGTCTTGGCTTGTATATCTTTTCTTTCTATCCTGCTATGCTGGACTGCTGCCTAACCAAGTTGGCTTTTGATTTGTGTATATTTTTTCTGTCTGCCTGCTGTACTGTCTATCTCTGCTGCTGAACTGCCATTGAACTCAGTCTAACCCTGCCTGCTTTATCTCTCTTTACTCTCTCTTTACAGTACAGCTTAAGATTTTTATATGATTTTTATTTGTACTGTTCTGAAGGGGCCCTATGGGAAATGATGAATTAAGATGTTTGCTTGCATAATACATCTTGCATCTCCTTTATCCAGTTTTGACAGTTTGGATAGATTTTCTGCTTTTTGATATCTTTTTCTCAAATCTTTCCATGACAGCTTTTGAGCTTGTGACAACAAATGTACTTCCTTGATTTTCTTTGAGTGGACTTTGTTTTGGATTGAAAGTTTGGATTGAACTTTTTCAGTTTAGTTTGGATTTTGGATTTGAATTTCTATGCAGCTTGAATTTTATGACTTATGCATTTGCATTTACATTCATGAAATAAAAATAATCTTCCCTCTCTGTGAACCGGGAGAAATCCCGTGATTTGCAGAGAGGGCAACTGATCCCAGTCAGTGGCCCCTAATGATGAGCAACTTTTACTGTCTTTTCCAATTTAATGCTTTCTGACTTTTCTTATTTCTTTTTGCAGATGAAAAATGGAATACCGGAGCGGAATGAAGCACGAAGAATATTTAGAAAATAGGATAGTTTTTCATTCTATGTAATATTTAAATTAAATGTAAATTATTGTTTGTAACAACAATTTGTAAATAATTCAAATATCAATAAAAATCCAAATTATCCAATTGGTTCCATTTTCTTTATTGCTTATTTATTTATTTAAAATTCTTAGAATTAAAACAATTGAAAAATAAATTCAATCATTTAATTTCAGAATAATAAATAACTAAAATAAAACAACATTGATCCAATAAACCTGTCTTATCCAACATCCAAAGCAAAGCAGCAATTAAACCAAGTAAACTGATCAACACATGAACACTGTGAATTCAAAACTGCATCTTGTATCTGACTGGCCCAATCAAAACGTACTGAATTCAAAACCATTGTCTCTTTTGCTGATTAAACCAAGATAACGCGAATTTTAATCCGAATCTTGAAATAAACCGCAAAGTGCTGTGGAATTCAAATTCTTCTGAGAATATGCCCATAAAACCCTAATTCCCGATTAAATGCCAAATCACGCTCGCTTGATCAAAATTAAACCCAAAAATCAATCAAACCCTAAGCCCACTGTATGAAACAATTCAGAGCTCTGAAAATCAGTGAAAAACCCTAGTTTTGCTTGACTGTCAAGAAAAGTCTGTTTGTCCGATTCTTGAGCCAGTTTGAGAAGTCAGGAAATGTTTGAAGCTGAGATTTCTTGGGGAAAAAATGCGAGGGCAAATTTTGGGGTACAACAATAACCTTCATCGACAAGTCAAGCACATCTTAAGCACGAACAACACACGCATTTAAATCACCCGCCGATTCTAATTCTGTCCATCAAACATCAAAAGTTTAGTACTTAAATTGCTTCCATTGCTCATCTTTGTTTTTATGCATTGAAACTCAAACTCAGATCTCACCAAATACTCGTCTTTCCCGACCCTGCAAAATCAAGAATGTAATTCTGCTACGATTCTGATAATGAATTCAACGCGAATTCAAACAACGAAATCAATCACACACGCCTCAAGTACACTCGTATTTTTCTGTGAATCAAACCAAAGCTCTAGATACCAATTGTTGGTGCACAAAGGTTGAAGATATGGATAAATGTAGAGAGAGAGAGAGAGAGAGAGAGAGAGAGAGAGAGAGAGAGAGAGAGAGAGAGAGAGAGAGAGAGAGAGAGAGAGAGATGACGACATAGCAAACTTGTTGAGGAAGAAATTGTATAGTAAAATCTTACTAAAATTCTAGTTGTAAACATGCTTATATACATAAAGTAAACTAACACGTATGTCCTAACAAAAAATAAACTTAATAGCTAAGTTAACAAAACAAACTAGGACCCGAGAAGCTATATATACTTCTGGTACACACTCTCAGAAGCTTCAACTTCTAACTAACACAAATATTTATGAATATGAATTACTTCTAACAACCACATCTCTCGCCAACCTGACAGACAAGTTAATAATTGTTGCTTGATATCGATAATAGAAAGGGGAGAAAGATTGAGTTTTACGAAGACTGGATTGATACAGATGGAGTGATGAAATATAACTTTACTGAGTTGAAAATGAATGAAGATTTGACGGTGATGTGGAGAGCATTTCATTGTAGACTAACTAAGGGGCCGATCTAGTTTAATGTGCATATTTCAATATCTGCCGATGACATAATCAAAATGCTGAAACGCCCATAATCATCTGGTGGTGTCTAGATTTTCATGTTTCTTTATTTTTAATTTATGTTTGTTGTACTATTTTAAGTTATGTTCATCTTCAAATTGAAACATGTAATCACCAAAATATTATGTAATAAAAAGTACTATGTTGAGTAGTCTGAGTCACAAAATATACAAATAATACAACTCTCAAATCAAAAAACTAAATCTCCCCCCTCCCCCGCGGGCTATGTGTGTTGTTCAAGATAATCCAGTAGTAACCTCACCATATGGGTTTACCAAACCCATAGGGTTATCCATAATAACAACGATCATCTGCAAGCGTTCCTGGTTATATGTGTCTGGTGGAGGTGGTGGTGACGGCACGTCGTCAACCTGTACCTCAGCCTCAGAAACCCCAACATCAGAAGTCATCCTAGCATCGGAAGGTCTGACAGTAGATCATATAATGTGATGGGGTGATATAGTGAGATACCACTCCAGGTAACCATCCCCACACTACACAGGATGCTGAACCCTCATTGTGTTAGCCTTAATGGCACAGGCAGAGCTGATGATGTTACTCTGAAACCATCTATCAATGGCCCCAGTTGGAGCATTCAGAACTGGTCGTGGGATGCCCTAGACATAACCATACTATCACATACACCTCTCAGACAAGTGTCTAGCCATTAAGGTCTCCCACCTTATACGAACTGAATATAAAGAAGACTCATCAAACTCAGTGTGGGCCTGGTGAATTGTGTATGGTGTCCAGATGACATCCTCTACTCTCAGAGCATCAAGCCTCCTCCTGTACTTCACAACACCACCTGGATGTGCTTGTTTGGACTTTTATCTCCTTGCTTGTGGTGCACCAGTTGTGGCATACTACACCCTTCTACCACAGATGTTGGAGAAATGTTCGTATATCCAGCACTGGAGAAATTTTAAAATTAATTAATGTCACAAAGAACAATTAAGAACAATTAAGAAATGCTCTTATACCTAGAATAGACTCAAATAATTAGCAAGTTGTATGGTCTCAAAGACAGTCGCAACTCTAAGTGCCGTATACAATATGGTCAACGCAGCAACTCCCCAAGCTCAACTGCCACTCTCTAGGCTACTGAGCACCCACAAGTATCGAGCATCAATATAAACATGAGACTTATCCGCAAAAAAAGTACATGCCATTAGATGTAGCATGTGTGCCCTAGCGACATCCTCATACTTATGCGGCTCCACAAGCTCATGGTACCTGTCCCAAATCCAAGACATCTGAAGATGAGCTCCCCTATTAAAATCAAACTCTTCTTGCACGACTGCTTCAGTGACTTGCAAATCCTCTACAACCTATAACAATTTGTCGTATGGTTAATTATTGGAGCAGTAAAGAATCTATCGACAATGGAGACATGAAACAAGGAGGAGAGATTATCCAAAATGATCCATCTCCCCAAACGGAAGATGAAAGGGAGATGTCTCATCGTGCCACCGCTCAACAAAAGCAGACAAAAGTAAAGCGTTGAGCATGGTCAGCGAGCAGTCGGCGAACTCCAGGTGACTAAAATTAGAAACAATACGCCTGACATGCTCAAGCATCAGACCGAGTGGGTAGTTATTCATCTTCAAACATTGGAATGTGACCTTCAGTGTCAGACGTTCCTGTAAGAAACAAAGTTAAAAAAATTATCAGTAAACATTCAACCTATCACCCAACAATAATAAATAATTTGCAATTAAAGAATATAACATATATACATATCTCTGCCATAATATTATATGCGACATGGTCAACATACTCCGTGAGCACTGATCGGTCACTAGGTCCTCAAGGGAATGCTCCACCAGTGTGAACAGATGTCTCTGTAGAAGCACGAGTTGTAACGTCTATATTAGTAGGAGTATCATCAGTCAACAAGAGGTATGAGAGGCACCTCCGCATCTGTAACCGACACACGAACCTCCTCAGCAACAGAAACCTCCTCTTGAGCAATTGGCACATGAATCTCCTCATCAGTAACCACAACAACATGAACCTCCTCAGGTGGAGGTACCTCCTCAGCAACAACTCTAGTTACTCGGCGTCGGGGTGTGCAAAATTGGCCATGCTTCTGCTCAGCCATCTGTTTTTGGTGAGAATCGATCGGAGCAACTCGTCCAGCCCGTAGCTGGGAAGACTCTGCCTCAACAGCCCTAGTCTGAACTGCCTCTTTATCGGTTATCATGCCTCCAATAGACCTGTCCTTCCCCTGGTCCTCACTGGAAAAAAATGGAAAATTGACAAAAAAAATTAGTGAAAGAAGTATGCACTGGAAATTTTAAAATTTCCGAAATTTTTCAAAAAAATTTGAACTATCAGAAATTTCAAATTTTCTGGTAACATGTGAACTCAATAAATTCCGAAAATTTTGAAAATATCAAAATTTTCATGATTTCTGGTAAAATCTGTCGGAAATTCTAAAATTTCTGGAAAAAGAACTTCCGACAATTCCCACTTTTCGGTATTTTACTCACTTTTTCGAAGAATTTCCGATATCAGTTTGAAAATTATGATAATGCCTGAGAGAGATTTCAAAATTCTGGATTCGTTTGAATAAATTTTTTAAAGTAGTAAAAATTTTGAACAAAAATATTATAGTCTTTTCATTCTATTTGGAGGTATTATATTCAATTTGAGGGCAACAAGTTAAAACCTCATACTTTTACCGAATTCAGATGTGAAAAACTCAATCAAATACAAGCATCAGATGTTATGTGATGGGGCGCATTTACCCAATTTCCCCACTATCAGAGTTGTTCTGGGGTGCACATGACGTGTGTGCGAATCTACATCATCCAACATGTTTAAATTTGCAATTTTATACTTCAGACGGATCTTTAGCTGTTTTTTATAGAGAAAACACAGTTGATATACAAGAGTGTGGTGCAAGGGTTTCATCCTACATCACTTCATTGGTTACTCAAGCTTGGAAACAAAACTTTGAAGGTTAAATGGCCCCCTTCAACAGGTTGTTTGGTTTTTCCTTCGTTTCATATTTACGTGTATCTAAAGTATTTTGTCGAGGAAGACAAAATGTTGACCTAAATATGAGAATTTCTTATTCCACCATATAATGTGGAAAAAAATCCTATAAAACTTCGAAAATGTCTCTCAATTTTCAGAGATATATTTTCGGATGCATCATTTGTATAATTCAATAATGCACGAAAGCAGTGTCACCCTATTGCTAAACAAAATTTAGTTTCAGAGATACATCTCCAGACCCATCAATTCAATGTATTATTGGTTGAGCATTTTAAAGAAATTTTCGGAATTGTATTTTCAAATTTAAAATGTATTTAGGGAGATGCATTTCCGGATGTAATATAACTATAAACCTGAGCATTGTTTTAAATTCAACTTTTGTGATATATTTTTGGGTGCGTACAAAGATACATCTCTAAAATCTACGAACATTATTGTATTTATACGTGTTGTGCCAGTAATGCATAGAGTGCATTAAGAAATTCCCCAAAATATTATGAATAATATTTGAACCATGTTTAAGTTGTGTTCTTATCTCTTTGCTTAATGAATGAAAGTTTAATCTTTGAATGTTTGAGTTTAAGAATACAATCTTTAGTCTCATAAGTCAATAGATAAACTCATAACTAATTCTAGTCATTTGCTTAAGGCTGAAACCACCTGTACTTCATCCATAACATCTTTATCATCAATTCAATATTTTGTGTCTTGATTTAATTTTCATTATTAATCAAACCAATAGTGTTTATGGTTCAATATTGTTATTTAATTTTTGAATTAATAATCAGTACACTATTTGAGTTCGACGTCTAATACTTTACTATTTTACTAGTTGCGATGATCCAAATACTTATTGAGATCCAATCAACAGTGCAGGCAATAATCTATCTTTAGTTCTAATTCTCAAATAGAAAGGAAGACTGAAAATTAAGCTACCTTAAGACTGCAAATCTTAACATGAATACACCCTCTTACTAATACTCTTAGTTATAAAATGTATCATTTAATAACTTGAACTCATCTGGTAGAGATGATGATGAAGATGATATCCAAGACCAAAGGAGAGAAGAAAATCAGGATACTGCAATCAATCACATTAATACCCAAGCAAGCATTGTCATCCTCCCTAGTCTCTCCCTGAAATATAATACAAAACATGCAAGAGAGTTCCATATAGAACAAAGGGCATGTCCAATATAAAATTCGTAACATCTCAATTCTCGTTCAAGCATAAACATTTTCTCACTCTTTTTGCGATTCTTACAAAAGAAATTCTTTTTGTCTTCGGTAATGGTTCATTCTTGACAAAAAGTGATGGTTCTGTTTTCACATCAGGTGATGGTTGTGCTTCCACTTGAATTGTTGGATCAACTTCCATTTCATATATTAGATAGACAGCCGTCTCCTTAACAATCAATTCGTGCCCAATAGTTACAAAAATCTCCACATTGTCACCAACTCCTAAATTTGATTTCACGCTTAGCCAATCTTCATCATTAAACGATATTACTGTGTCTCCTTTGTAAATATGGAAAGTGAATTTTGTGTAATTAATAATCAAGACACTAGTGAAACATTCACATGTCAGGTTTTCAGGTCTTGATGAATGAAGAACACATAGAGTTATGCCCTTCATTACAGAATTAGTATCCTCGGGAACTTGAAATTTTACCGAAGGTCCTTCACCTCTATAGACTAACCAAGAAGGATAATTGTCTTCCGGAAAGAAATAATTGCTACAATTGGTTGCCAATCTCTGTATCATGAGCATTTGCTTAGTATTTAAATAATTCTAATTATGTTATGCAATGGACATTTTCTGACATTTATTGTGTCAAAGTAGTGTACTATCCTGAACAATATATACAAGGAAACTGATTGAATGAAAACAAGCAAAATTGTTCCTTTCATGTAGTTCCTTTCCACTTTCCTACAACTCGCTGTCATTCACAGAAACAATTCATCCTTTCCACTTTTAACACACAGTCGATAGTCGATTCTAGAAAGTAAATCATTTCTTCAAGAATACCAAAGGCTTGTGAGCTAACATATGAAAGTGAAACATCTAAAAGCTTATTGTTCTAGTAAAGGGTAAAGTTATAGTGACATTTAGCTTATTGCTATCAATTCCTACTAATGTAAAGAACAAACAAAAAAAAACATATACAAACACTTTTAAAACTCAATATTTGAAAAAAAAAATTATCTAGTGACCTAATTCCTGTTAGATTGTAGTTATATACTAAAAGTACTTTAAAAAATCAATTGTTGAGCTAGTGGTTTTGTGTCCATTATATCATTCACATCAACAAAAATATAATTTTATTATTTTGTTCCTCTTTCTACTTATAGATCTTAAGGACTAAACCTGTGTATAACTTCAAATAAATGTAACCAAGTTAAAGTTAAATAATAATTATATGTATAATAATGTTTTAAAATTTACTTATTTTCTATGTTATACGTCTGAACTTACCATTTATATTAGTTTCTCTTATTGATAACTTGAACAGATTTGTTTATTTAGGAGTCTTTTATCATTTGAAGAACAAAAAGCAAATGGAAAGTAATTCCATGTTCTCTTAAGTAATGATAAATATCAGCAAAGGTGGGAGGATAGAGAAGGAACCTGTGATAAGCTCTTCTCAAGAGTATCGATGACAATGTGGCAACTTCCAATTCCAATCAAAACAGATCTCAAGGAAAGATCCGAAACTTGTGATGCATGTGATGTTCCCAGTTCAGTCAGACCTGCACCATATAGATCATCAAGAAATCTTCGGAATTCGTGTTTCAATTGAATCTCTGAGTCACATTGTACCAAAACACTTCTTAGTTTTGAACAACTGCTAAGTATTTCTGATTGATAGACCAAACCCAAATTATTAGTCTCTATGTTCAGGGAAACAAGAGACATTGATATACCACCGAACGGAAGAATGTGTGATAAGGAATTCATTGTTGGTGACATCCAAGACCTAATGAGAGATGGAAAAACATCATGCGGTAATCCTTCATATCCACATAGGGATATATATCCAATATTTAATCTTAGTATTGAATGGGGAACTTCTTTTACAGATGTATCTTTTGCAATCAGTGTTGTCAAGGATTCCATCTGCCCCATGTCTTCTTCCAACTTGTCAATCTTTGAACAGCCGGACAGGATGAGAGTTTTCACTGATGTCAATTGATATATCTCTCTTGGGAGATTGCTAAGGTTTGTACAATCCTTCAAATTTATCAAAAGAAGATTCTTGAGATCTCCAATGGATGAGTGCACCTCGGACAAACTTTGACAATCCTTCATAACGAGTTTTTCTAGGTTCGGTAATTTTGAAAAGTCAGGGGTGCTTTTTAAGCACTTGGAATGACTGAGATTGATAATTTTTAGCTTCTGCATCAACTGCAAGAAAATAATTGTTTAAAAGAAAAATTAGATCTTCAAGATTTGCTAACATTGAAAAGTCAGGGGTGTCTATCAACTACAATAAAAAAATAAATGTTTTAAATAAAAATTCGAGGATAAAATGAAAATGAAACAGTGGCAAAAATAACTATTTCCATTCACCATGATTATAAAAGGAAAATATCTAGTGATATATGTACCTGAGGCTTCTTCCAAACCTGTGTAAGATTACTGTGTTTTAAGTCCATAGCAACTAGATCGTTCTGATAAAAGTTTTCTGGCGTGTATTTTAAAGGAAATCCTTGCCAAGAAAGCCATTTCAGGTTCCTTGGAAAACACCCATAATCTCCTATGAATTGTACATGATCAAGTTGCAACAATCTCAATCTCTTCATTTCTTCAAAAGCAATAGTATCGAAGCAAACACCATTGGTCCCTTGCAACTTCATAACCAACCCTTCAATGGCATCTGTTCCCTGCAACACAAAGAAAGACCATAGAAAATTAAATTAAAAAGGAAATCTTAATTTGTTGTTTGGTAACCAAAAAGCAACAAGTATAACTTGAGTTGTTACATGAAGCAACAAATACAATCATATATAAAATGACATGATTCCATGAACGAACTTCTCCAAAAATTTGAGATGCTACATGAAGACACATGAATGGAAACTTGTAAGATTTTTAACATGGACAAAAAAACCTATTGTACAAAGAAATAGATAGGAAAACCTAAGTAAGCTGTTTTTTATATTGCATCTTTAACAAGGACAAACACTTGTGAGATAATGAATCCCACTATTTTTCGACAATTGATGGGAAAAGTAAAAAACATTTCAAAAACAACCATAGTTTTTATATCTTTAAAGATCGTGAAAGATGATAAAAAAAGTGAAGATTCAGTGTAAAGAAATTCTTACGGTGTGGTCAGTTAATACATTAACTACATCCTCATGACACCACAATCGACTACGTTTCTGAGGCTCCTCAGGTGAACTTTCACGAACAATTTCTCTTCCCATGTCTCGTAGCAAAGCATGCATTCCAAGCTTATTATTCGCTTCAACTTTTATGAGGCTTCTTTCTATCAGCACTGTTATTCCAATATCAGCATGAAATCCACAACCATTAAGTACCTCAGTAACATAAACTTTGTCCTTACCGATAAAGAAACAACACACATCAAGAAATATATCCTTTTCCATACGATCCTCTAAACCATCAAAGCTAATTTTTAGTTTCTCATGTATTTGATCATTGGGTATCTTTTCTAGCTTTGATAATACACTCCGCCAGTCTTGTCTTTTCCTCTTGCACAAGTAAGATCCAAGGACTTCAAGAGCTAGTGGCAGTCCACCACAGTAGGAAACTACATCTCCTGAGAGGCTAAGGAAACCTTCAGTTGGATGCCCCTCCCTAAACGCATGCCAACTGAAAAGCTCAAGGGACTCGATCGCATTCAATTCCTCCGCTTCATAAATAAAGTCAACTCCAAGGATATCAAGTAGACGCACATCTCTTGTTGTGATGATTATTATACTTCCTGAACCAATCCCATTTCGATTCCCACATAGTGCCTTTAGTTGCTCCAGCGTACTGACATCATCAAGTACAACAAGTGCCCGTTTTGTGGAGAGTCGTTCATTGATCATAGCTTTTCCCAACTCAACATTACGCACCTTTATTTTTCTTGTTAGGATATCTGAAAGAAGTTGTTCTTGTAAGTCCTTTTGGCCTCTATCTTTCTCCCAAACTTCTCTAATATTAGCAAGGAAGCTTCGATCTTCAAATTCATAACAAAGATTATTGTAGATGGCTTTGGCAATGGTGCTTTTGCCAATTCCCCCCATTCCCCAAATCCCTACTAAACAAACTTCTCTTGTATTCTGTCGTAAAAACCGAATCAACAATTCGGCACGGGATTCTAGTCCAACTGGAAAATCTGGGATAGGTAAGCATTTTTTGTCTAGTTTTTTCAAAACTTGGGCAACAACTTCCTTCACAACACTGCTTTCGTTACTGCAAGAGTAAAATAGTTTTGAAAAGACAAAGAAGGTGATAAATAATGAAAGATAATGAAGTGAGATTTGAGTGAATTTCCAATCACCTAAACTAACAGCGGTAATAAAGTTGAAATAGTATGTAGTTTAGCTATTAGAAATGAAGTTGTAAAAAGAAGAAGAGATTTGACCTGTAATTATTCATATCCCAACCAGCCAAATTGGAAGCAGCGATGAGTGCTATCTTTCGTGGATTTTCCTTCACATCAGTCCTTTGATTAGTTCTAGTGGGAGCTTCTCCAAAAGTGTGCTTAGCATATTCACGTATATACGAAGGGGTAATACCACCGTGAAATAAAGGCATAATAAGTCGATCCTTATCTTTGTTGAATTTGATGATTTGTTGGAGTTCATCAAGACACCAACTAGAGTGAACATAGTTTTCGGAGAAAACAACTATGAATATCTGTGAACCATCAATTGCTCGCAGTAACTCTGGTCCAAGTTCCTTTCCCTTTTCAAGACTCTCGTCGTCAAGAAAAGTGTTGATTCCAGCATTTGTGAATGCAGCATACAGATGAGAGACGAATTTGCTGCGAGTGTCTTTTCCCCTGAAATTTATGAACACGTCGTAGATCCATTGGGGTCTGGATGTTGAAGAAAACATGGATTCGTTAGGATCACACGACCGAAGATGAATCAATTAAGCATTTCAAGTCAACGTTGCTCAATATTGTTTACTCAAAGGAGTACCGCAATTCTATTATTATATTAATATTATAATATATACTAGCGTTCACAAACCTTACAAATTCCCACAAAATCCCACAAACCACTCAATTGTTATCCGCAATTCTATTATTATATTGTCTCACCAAGGTTTCAAACACAAGATCCTTGACTTACACACTAAATGTTGAACCACTACGTCATTTGTCTTATTGTTGTTATTAATCAATTAATATAAATTGTTATTATTCTTTTCATCTTCTTCTCAAGAAAATCAAAAGATATCCATTCGAAGTAATCTATTGTCTAAAAGATGAATTATGGTAAGTGTGATACGGTGAGAGAACTGACTTGAAATATTTTACGTTTTATCGCAAATGTTGCGGTTAACAAGAATCGCCACCGACTTTTCTTTTATTCAAAAGGAAAGACTGAAAACAACAGGAAAGACATTTGGGATTATTTCTTGAGTTCGGGGGATAGATTATGAAATGGGAAGGTGTTAGCACCATTTTCATCCATAGTTATCTATGGGCTCTTAGTTGCTTGTTAGATCACTTGCTTTTGTTTGAAAATGTGCTTTGTGTGGTTTTTTTTTAAAGTATTTTGAAAAGGCGACTTCGTTTAGGCAAACTTTGTAATAGTTATCGTTCGTAAGAACGTATACAAAGTGTTGATCTTTTGAAAAGTGTTTTTGAAAGTATTGGTGTTTGTTTTGGAAATAAGCAAGGATGTTTGTTTTGAAAATGAGCAAGCAACTAGGAACAATCTACCTACTCAAAAGTTTTTGTTCATTTCTTCCTTTCCTTTGATATTGTTATCTTACCATTGATTGATAAGAAGCCTTATCTTTGGATGTAAAGGGACGGGCGTGAATCATCATATAGTCACGATAGCAATGTTGTGAGATGTTTTAATATTTCTCTTTAAGGGACTAAGATCATTTTGAAAGGCAATATTTGATAGCGTCATCGAGGGACTATGATCTTGTATTTTTGACTTGTTTTTGCTAAGACATCCCACGTGCATAACATGGTCATTTTTGTAAGGCAAAAAAGTGGAATTACCGTAAGGGATGCAAGTGTGCAAGTGTGTTTGATTTACAAGCATTATTTATCTTGAATTAGGGTTTGCTACTTGTTGGTTTTAGTCTTGCCATACAAACCCTAATTACTAACATTTATATAAAGCGATAAATTGCGGAAATTAAAATTACTACGCTATTACATCATTAGGTGAGGGGTATACAAATTTACAAATGGGGATTGCAAGAAAATTAAACCTAATTAACTATTACAACCATATTGAATAATGTACAAGACTTGAAAAATATAATGTACAAATACAAATGGAAAAAGAAATGATTTTGTTTGGTTTTTGTCAAGGGTTTTAACATAATGATTAAAAAGAAGAAAAAAAATTAATTAAAGATAAATAAAATTAAACCCAAATTAATTAAGAAAAAAATTAGATTAAAAAGTACTTTTTAAGGTTTTTTGTGAAAGGTTTTAAGTTAAATGGTAATAATATGAAAATTAATTAATTAAAAGAAAACCTAAATTCTAAGTTAATTTTAAATAAAAATAATAATAATAATTAAACCTAAATCTAAATATTAATTAATTAAGAAAAAAAGAAATTATTTTATTAAGTAAATATTTTTAATCTTTTTGTCTTTATAAATAAAATAAATAAGTGTAAAAAGAAATAAAATATTTTTGAATTTTTTATTAATAAAAATAATAATAATATTAATAATAATAAAATATTAAAAATAAAATAAAAATAAAAATATAAAAAAAAGTCAAGGGATGAAAATTTAATTGGGGTGGTTTTGTAGTAAAAGTTGTTTTAAGTCTGGCCCAATAGGTTTATTTTTATAAACAGAAACCAAGAAAATAAAAAAGTTAATGGGATGTGTGATAGGCACTAAGCAAGGGGTATTGCTTAGCAAAAAAAAAATACAAAGCCCAAAGGTGAGGGCCCAAACGCGCTGGATACAAAACAAAAAGAAGCAAAAATCTGGAAAAAAATAACAAAACGTACGTTGGGACTCGAACCCGAGTCCTAAAGGTGAAAGGCGCGCGCTTCTACCACTAGGGTGGCTATACATCCGTTAACTTGTATCAAACCATAAATATATATTACAAATCAATTTCATGGCCTGAACTTCATCTTCAACCTCACGCCCAACCAGACAACATGTATCTTGTTCATTTCTCAATGAAAATTAAAATTGCAAACATGAAAGTTGTTCCATTTTTTCTCACGAATCCAACCATGTAAATAACTAAAGCTATAAATCAAAGATGAATGAGAATTTCGTTGTCCCTAATTTGAATCCTAAATTTTCCATAAATTTAAATCTTAAAATTCTCTAAGCTCAATCCACATAAATGAAATCTATGGATATGTACAGTTCCAGGACAATGATATCTACATTTTGTCTTTGAAAATGCAAGCTTAACAATGCCTAAATAATGAGATGAAAAGTCAGAAAACTCACCTTGCAGCTGGAGATCGTGTTTTGAGTTAGAGCTTGATTCAAGTTGTTGTGATGATCAGGTTAGCTTCCTCAAGTTCCCAGGAAGCTAATGCAATGATTAGCTTGATTAGAGAGTTACTGAAATGGTCTGGAGAAGTCCAATTGCAATGCTCTATTTTTGGTTATGGAAGATGAAGAAGATGGTGTTACAGTTGGGAAACAAGGACAAAGATGAGTTATATTTGATGTAAGGAAGCTTTGAAAATTATATTGAGGGAAAACGCACGATGGAAATAGAAAATACAAGTTTAAGGTCAGAACCTGCACAAAAATGGAGTTTGTGTGCAATTTCTGGCTAGAGGGAGTTTGGGAGAATTTTTAGGCTTGCAAAATCGTGTCCTAAGTTTCATAATAGTGTCTCAATTTATAGGAAAAGGTTTTGAGAGCTTGGGGTGATCAGAAGTACAAGTTCACATGTTATGACTCTTTGGCTTGTTTTTGAAGCAAGCTTGACACACATTGTCCCAATGCATAGTACAAGGATATATAGAGTGGTTACAAGCTTTAAACATGTTTATCTGACTTTATATGTTGAGTGTGTGCTGAACAAACAAGTTAGAAGCTCAAGACAAGTTGACTTTGTGATTAAACAACTTTTCAAGAATGGAATGGTAACTTTGTGCCATAAATGGAAATGCAACTTGGATAATGGCTCAAATACTTGGACAATGGCTCTATCAGTTTTGTAAACATTCAATTATTGAGTGATTAGCAAGTTTGAATCCTTCAAATCAAGATTTTTACAGCATGCTTGAAGATTGGATCAAGTGTTCTTCACAAATTTGTCTTGCAAAACTAGAATAAAACCCTAACTTCTTGCCTTCGATTCTCCTTGCTCAAGTATGATCTCAATGACTTATTAGACATTTTGGAAAGATTGTAACATCCTCTCCAACCTCTATGTTGGAAATTTTTGAATATTCATCTTAGAACTATGTGAAAAATTGCCATCAAGTTAGGTCAAAATCCTGCCTAAACTAGGGCAAAATTTCACTAAGTTTTCAAGTTTCATGAACATGTCTTCTTAAAATCATAACTTGAAATCCATGCATTTATAGAAAAATTTGTGTTCTACAATGTTTTAGATATCATTGAGATATACAATTTTCATGTTGGAAGTTTCCTTTGAATCATCTTGCATCATGGTGAAAATTTGGCTCAAAGTTATGAAAAAAATGTGAATTTCTAACACTTAGAAAAATTTCTAAGTTTAGAAATTTTGACTTTTCAAAATGAAATCTTGAATTTTTGATTTCTTGATGAACAAGTTTCATATTTTGACATGTCTTGATGAATTGTAATCTTTTATACTTGATTTTGATCAAAAAGTCAAAGTTTGACTTTTCAGTGGACAATTAACTTTTCATCAGTTGACTGAAATTCATTTGTCAATCAATTGAGCTTGAGAAATGTTTTGAGCCATGTCATTGGGTAAAAATTAAGTATTTGAAACCTTGAGATCATGTCTCAAACCAATAAGTCATTTTCTAGGTCAAAAATCAGAAATTGCACCTTCTTAGTCAAAACCCTAATTTTGACCATTTTGCCCTTTTGATGATCTGATCAAATTTCTTGAGGAATTGTGGTACAAACTTGATCAAATGACATATATGAGTTCACGATGTTGATATGGATAAAAAATTATGAAGTTTGACTGTAAATTGACCATAATTGACTTTTCCCCAATACAACTGATTTTAGGTTAACTAATCAATTGACTGAGCAAAAATGTGATCCAAGACTTGAAACTTAACATGAGAAATATTGATGGTCCAAAATGATCCATGAAAGTCATATGGGGAATTAAAAGTCCATTTGTCCTTGTGCAAACTAAAACCCTAATTTTCAGTCATCGGTGCTTGAGGAGGTGTCTTGAGCTGATCAACCCTTGTGCAGTCTTGAATCAAAGGAGATCTTGTGAGAATACACTTGAGAAATGAGAGGGAAAATTTTGGGGTACAACAGCTTCCCTTGTTCAATCTTCTTAAACCTGAAGAGTTAGATTGGCGGATCCGCCATTCGTGACTTGAAGGTGGAAGATGATTGAACACTAGAGTGCCCAGAAATTTGCACTCGAAGATGGATTGGGAATGGGCTTATAGATTCCATTTGGAGGAATGATGGTAAATACTAGAAGAAGTATCAACAAAAATCTTTGGTCGATTTATACTAAAACTCGATGTTTTACCTGTGGGGAAAAAAGGTTAGTTAAATGCAGATGTATGCATGATGTTCACAAGATGTGGTATTATGCTAAATGCATTTTGTATGTATATGATATGATGTATGATTGTGGAATGCATATTTGTCCAGGAAAATAAATCCCTGGCTGCTGCTGAGGAGTTTTGAATCCGGATTGCTGTTGAGGATTAAGAATATACATATCTTCAAAT